AATAGTTTCCAAATATGACATTTAATATGTCCTATTGCTTCTCTCCTAACGTTCTGATACAACGTCTGTTTATTGCAGCAAATACTTGATTTTCTATGTGGTATTTTGATTTGCACTTTTTTTTATTAAATGCAGCTGATTTTGTAACGCTTTACCCATTTTCCATTATCTCCTTCACCCCACCTCATCCCTCTAGGATAATGACATATCAAAGTCAAAAGTGCGTTACTATAGCAACTCCCTGCAACATCGTATCAAAAACAGAGTCTGGCAATCACTGCTGCTGCTGCTGCCCAAACTCCGGGAGGTAAGACAATTTCACTCGTATTTAGAATCACACAGGAAATAACCACTTAGATACTGACTGTGTGTGTGTGTGGTTTGTTTTTGTGAAGGAGTTTGTGGCCACTGTGCTGAACTGTGTGTTTGAAGCTGGATTCTGCAGTAACCATGCCTCAGTCAAATACCTGATCGAATGGATGATGATCCTGATCCTCGTCCACTATCCACATCACATGGACGGCTTCTGGGCCTGCTTCACCAGGGTGAGCTCCCTCTCTGGTTCCCTACCAACCAGAAAACACTGCATCACTGGGGAAATCGTTCAATTATTCAGTTCTATTCCTGCACAGGATCACGACAAGACCAAGACAAGCATCTGCACCTTCTTGTCAGTCCTGGTACATTTCAATGTCATCATTCCTCATCTCAAGGACAAGGTGAAGCCTTTGATGTTTTTCCTCCGCTCAGACAATATTGTGTTTGCATCTCCAACGAGACGTTTCTCCCTGTTTGTTAAAGGCCCTGCATTTGCGCAAAGCACTGGACATCATCCTGCAGTGGTGTTTCAACCACAACTTCAGTGTGCGTCTGTATGCCCTGCTGGCCCTGAAGAGGGTCTGGAGCTTGGCGGGGTTCCAGGCAGAGGAAGGAGCCGATGAGTTGAGAGGAATGTCCACTGTGATCCTGGCCTGCCTGAACCAGGCCGAGGCCATGCAGAGCACCGGGTGAGAGCGGAACAGCCACAACCACACAAAAGGATCTAGCCGTGTGTTGATGTATTTGTTCTCTCTCCATTTAGAAACGCCAACAAGAACTGGACAAGGATTCAGGAGCACTTCTTCTTTGGGGCCTTCGATCCTATCAGTGATTACAGTGTTGAGGTTTGTTCGTATGTTTCTGCTGATCAAATGAAGCCAGGTAATATACAGTAACACAGTGTCACCACCAACTTGCCTTCTGTTCTGTGTTTTATCCCCCAGACCATTTTCTACACCTTCCCCAGTCTGTCCGAGATGGCCGATGAGGAGTGGATTCCACCGTGGAAGTTTGAGAAACTGTTGTGTTTCTCTGAAAGTCCATCTTTTCCCTTGAGAAACCCGTCTCCTGACCTGAGTCAGCTCCAGCCCGGAGACTGGATCCAGCAAGACAAAGGTACGGTCGCCCCATTTACGAGCCGCGGCACTGCTTGACACGGCTCACCGCAGTCTCACCCCGTCTCTGGTTGTTGGATCCCCAGGCGACCAGAATAAGGAGGAACGCTGGGCCGAGGTGCAGAAGAAGATCACGCCCTGGAGGTTAGGGATTCAGGAGCAGGAGCCCGAACTTCAGCTGGTTCCACAACAGCGGGCTGCTCGACTGGGCAAACTGCACGGTGCCCTGCTGGTGGTGGCCTCACTTATCGACAAGCCCACCAATCTAGGAGGTGCCTCACTACTTCTTCTTCATCTGGAAAATATGTCAAATGTCTGAAAATGTCTCTGTGATTTGTGTAATATTTTGAGGAACTAACGTTACAGGCGTTTGTTTAACCACGATGATCTGGGCAAAGAGGTCAAACACAGCTGCCGTGGTCACTTTGGCCCTCTTATCGGGATTTGTCCAGTTTAGAGAGGGAATGCCCGGCTTTAATCACAGACACTCCTATTTTATGTTCTCTGCCAATGTACTCCTTTGCTTTTGTCTCAGATGATAAGGTGCTGAATCAATCAGAATTTGTTTATAGAGGAAAAGACCCATTTTCAAAACCAATATTGATACTGGATGGTGTAAGCAAGCACATTAGCTTGGCCACTCTGTAAATGTTTTACTTGAAATTGCTGCGTCAGTTGCCATTACAGATGTACCTTTTTTATATCGCTCTGTTCCCATGATGATGGACTGCCGCGCTTCTTTCCCAGCTTATGTAAAAAAATTTGAGACTTCACATGGAATTGTTTTCTACCATAGGTTCAGATTGCGGGAATACATTTTTCAGATGCCATTTCGATAGGTCACCCGCTTCGTCCTCATTTGTTTATTCGTTGTCTCTTCAGGTCTGTGCAGGACCTGTGAGATCTTTGGTGCCAGCACTCTGGTTCTGGACAGCCTCCGCCACGTCAGTGACAAACACTTTCAGTCCCTGAGCGTCTCATCTGAGCTGTGGCTTCCTCTGTTAGAGGTAGAGTGCATTAAACAATCTCACATGATGATCATGATGTCTACTCTGGACTGGGGACTTAATAATAATAATAATATTGGATTTTGATCAGGTAAGCTCAGGGTTAAAATGTCGAAATCAATGTTGAGCGCACCCAGCGGATAGAACGGATCGATGCTGAAGCCGCCGCGTGCTGTGGCTCTCCTGATGGCTTTCTTGAAAAATGAAAAAAAAAATCTATATGAAGTTACGGTTTCAATTAACTCATTAGGCTTTGTCCCTTGGTTGTGATTGAGAAACTGTAATGTTAATTTAAACCCATTAACGTTTGTTTGGGAACCATCTCGTTTTCTCATTCGGAGGTGGTGGATACTCAATGCTACTGCCACATTTAGAGCTTTCTGTCTTTTGTACAGTAACTGCTGCAATGCAAAGAGCCAGTAACAAGTCTCAGATGCTGATGCCCTGATGTTCATGCGTCTCTGTATCTGTTTCTCAGGTGAAGCCAATGGAGCTCACTGACTTCCTGCAGGTAAAGAAGAGTGAAGGCTACTGTATTGTCGGAGTGGAGCAGACTGCTAACAGTCGGAGTCTCCAGGACTACCGGTTCCCTGAGAAGACCCTGTTGCTTTTGGGGTGTGTATGCTTTCTAAGCTTTGGGTCTGCTTAACAAGACAGCTGCCTCTCCAATGAAAGGCCACTTCAACGTAACCTGTTGTCCTCCTTCAAATCAGCATAAACACAGGCAAGCCTCTGTCCTTCCGTGGCCTTAGTGGCTTTTGTTTAGTGCGAGGTGTGAGCTGACGGAGCTATTAAATGCTCTCTCTCCGGTCTGGAGTGTTTCCCTGTGGGCCCTCAGCCTCTCCTCTCCATGGTGTACGTGTCGAGGCAGGCTGGACTCTAATTGGTTCTCCCCGAGGAGGAGAACACAGGACATAAATGACACCATCCGGTACAAGCAGTGCAATGACAGCAGTGGGGTTTGAGTCGCGACGCTCCCCCTGTGGCTTTCATCAGTTGGGAGGCTAAAAAGGGATTTATTAAACCATTTTCTAGCTACTCAGGAGTGAAGGTGACCGTAATTACGTGCTGGTGCCGTTTGTGACAGCGGCATGATTCACTCTGTGTTCTAAATGTGCACCACAGTTGTGCAGCTGGCCAGGCAGCGAAAGGAGACATTAATATTGATCACATGCGTGTAGGTGTCCTGTTTTGTTTTACCCTGTTCAGTCACTCAGGTGTGAGTAGTGCTGTTAGCTTAACCCCCCCACACACACCTCCCTTTCCCATCCCCCCCACCGTCAACCCCCCTGCGAGCTGAATCTCGCTCTCTGCTCTCACAGATGTTCCGTTCCTAGTACAGTGTTACTCAGGTGCCCTCACTATGAATGTACCTCATCAGATCAGGCTTTCTTACCGCGTGGACTCACCGAACTCATTACTACTCCTTAGTGTTGGCTTTGAATGGCCCACATTTCTGGGTCAAAGTACACACTTTGAATGGCTCTTGGACACTAAAAGTACCTGTTTTGAAGTTGGGTGAAAGACTAAAGATAAGAAAATACACCCACCAGCACCTCTAAAGTTCACTAATCAACATCTTCTAATCATCTGAAACTGATCTTTAATTATTAAAAACAAATAGAAGAACGTCTCGCAAATAACTCAAGTGTCTTAGTCTGAATACTTGCACTAAACTTTATGAATCCATTTGTAGACTTAATGCAAAATGATCCTTTGTTCCACTGTGTATGTTGATTTTCTCTTTCCCTTCTTACAGCAATGAACGCGAAGGTATTCCTGCCAATTTACTTCAAATGTTTGATGTGTGCGTGGAGATCCCTCAACAAGGAGTCACCCGCTCGCTCAACGTGCACGTGAGCGCTGCCCTGCTGATTTGGGAATACACGCGGCAACATCTCGCCTCCGGCTCCGCTGAAGTTGACTCAAAACCTGAAAACTGAAGACGGACCCTGAATGTTCCATTCCAGATGTACACCTTACTTGCTCCTCTGGTAGTAAGACTAAAAATATCTGCGGGGCGCAGAGGGGGGAAGATGGCGACACGGCGACACTCCATGCGGTGCCGGGACCTGAAGGATTGTAGTGATGCGTCTGGTTTCGCTGTGGTCAGCAGTCATCGGTGCTGCTCTTGTGCCTTAATAAGAGTCATGAATAGATATCGGCTGTGGTAATTACATCTGAATATTCCACTGGGCATGCTGGTATATTAAAGGAGGCAATCTCCGTGTTGGCACAGCTGAGGCATTAATGGAAATGTTCCCCTTTTCGAGGAAAGCAATCAGTTTATTCCTTATGGCACCGGGACTGGACACCCACACCCAGGAAGCTATTATACATAATGTATGAATGATTTTTGTTTTAATTACAGTTTAGGATTTTAAATAGGTTTTTTTTTTTTATGGTTGAATAAATAACACCGTAGCCATTTCATGTGCCTGTGATTATTCGTGTACTGTGGTTGGGGAGTGCGACCACCCAGGAAGCACTGAGGGGGTTAAAGAAGGTTCAGTAGGTGTTCTTGCGTCCTCCCTCCCCTTCCACCAGTGAAGGAGCCCGTTCACCTGGAGACCGTCCGACCAGCGGGGCAGCAGATGGAGCACGTTTGATCACGCTCGTCGCTTTTTCCGTCAAGTCACGCGTGTACGTGGCTCATCATGTGAGGATTGCAGTTGTTGTTTTTCGGGCGGGACATGGAAGACCTGGACGGCTCCTGGTCGGTGTCCCTGCAGGCGGCAGTGGCCAACGCCAGCTGGACGGAGGGCGCGGGGCGCGGTTTGTCCAGGCAGACCCAGCTGGTTCTGGAGACCGTCATGGTGCTGATGTGTTTGTGCGCTGTGACAGGTAAAGACTGTTCACTTTTGATTTATTTTAGCCAGACAATTACACAGTTTCTAAAAAATTTTAAATTGTATTTTCTCAGTATATCCTTTCTGGAAAACTTATTTTTCCCTCTTGATAAACTATAAAGTAATTGCTAAATCTGTGGTTAATATACATTTTGCTTATAATAAAATATATATATTATATAATTATTCCTAATACGGTTTGGCGTTGCCAGATAATGAAATATCCCTTTGGCTGGTGTTCCTTCTCTCTTTAGTTAATCAAAGAGCTTTCTGGCCAAAATTCAGTGATGAAATGTTTTCTTTACAAATGCTTTTTTGAAACTTTCCCATTTCCCTTTTTTAAAAGACTTAAATACATGATTACAGGCTAGATGAGCAATGGAAGAAGTCAGAAGCCTTTTATCATTGACATTAAAAACTGCCAAACTGAAAGAAGCTTTGATTTTGCCATCTTTGCCGAAATATCCAGTTTCAATACAAATATCCCATAATTCGGCATGGAAAACATGGCAAAATAAAAAAGTATATCAAATTTCAACCGCCCCCACTTTTCTGAATTCAGTTAAATCACAGGGTGTAAATAGTGTTGTCTTCCTGTGTAGGGAACATCCTTGTCATCATCATCGTGGCTGCAACCAAGACCTTCCACTCGGTGACGTCAGTGCTGATCATGAACCTGGCCATCAGTGACCTCCTGGTGGCCGTCGGGGTCATGCCCTTTGTGGCTCTGTCCATCATGAACCGCGGCTGGGTGGAGTGCACCGTACGTCCCCGCTGTCCAGTAACATTTCTCTGGTCCAGTGAGCGCGTGCATGTGACGAGCTCCCTTCTCCCCCCCCCCCCCACCCCCCCTTCTTTTTGACAGGACCTCTGTCTGTACGTCGGTTACACCTCCTCCGTGTACTGCACGGCCTCCGTGCTCACGTTGGCGGCCATTGCCCTCGACCGCTACCACTCCATCGTGGACTGCCTGCTGTACAGCTCGCGCTGCACTCCGTGGAGAACCGGCTGCGTGGTCATGTGGATCTGGCTGCAAGCTGTGGTGACCAGCTGCCCCCCACTGCTGGGCTGGAGCTCCGTCAGCTACGTGGTGCCCATGTTCAACTGCGCGGTCAAATGGTCCAGCAGTCCCAGCTACACGGCCTTCATGGCGGCCCTGTCGTACCTCATCCCGGCCGTGGTCATCCTCTTCTGCTACGTGAACATCGTCAAGGTGGCCCGCGGCCACGCGCGCAGGATCCACACGTTGGAGGACTCGGTGCAGCGCGCCAGGGACCCGGGCGCCGCGCGCTGTGGGAGCAGCTCCTCCAGTCTCATCTATCACGTGAGCGGGCGGTTTGTGTCCGAGGTCAGCAGAGATGAATCCACGCAGGCTGCGGCGCAGCGGAATGACCCTTCGTCCAGGAGTTCCTTCTCCTTCCTCGCGCACGGGGCCTCCAGGCCGCCGCCCCAGAGCCCCCACCAGCACCAGCACGGCCACCACGGACTAGTGCGCCTCTTCCTGGTCATCGCAGCCTTTTTCCTCTGCTGGACACCTTACATGGCCGTGGCTCTGGTCCAGGCCACAGAGACCGCGATCTCGGGCCGATCCAGACTCGTGCCCCACTCCGCCGTGACCTTCTCGTACTGGCTGGTGCTGCTGAACTCTGACATCAACCCGCTGCTTTACGCGCTGCTCAGCAAGCGTTTCCAGGGCGCCTTTCAGCGTCTGGCGGAGAAAGTAAGAGCCCGCCTGGGACGCGCGCTGGGCCGGGAAGTTGGGGTCAGAGCTGGGGGCGGCGGTGGCAGTGACGGCGGCCCCTGCACCCGGACCCCCACCCACCTAAGTGTGCCGCCATCCAGCTCAGAGAGTTCAAGCTGCGACGTCTCCCGGCGTTCCTCCTCCGTTTTTACCGTGAGCACCGGCTTCCAGCACCACTCTGGCTCCGGGTCCTTCTCGGTGTGGCAGGAGGCCGGAGGGGAAGGGGGGGCGGACTGCCTGCGGGTCCCCCCCCAGCCGAAGGAGGGCGGCAGGCTGCCTTTCTCTGCTCTGACTGAGGAGCGTCAGGCCACTTTCTTCTACGGACAGATCACGGTCAGGGTGGAGCACGATGTGTGTTAGTCCGGCTGATGGACGCGCTGTTGGAGAAACAAACTAATTGGACGAACAATTTGTTTATTAATGTTTTTTTTTACAGCTTAATTGTTTGGTTCCAACAACGTCAGAGAAGAACAGCTAATACTCGTTTGAGAAGCTAGAATCACTGATTGTTGGGAGCGTTTTGGGTCTAGCTATTCAATTATATTTCTTTGACCTATTGGTTATTAAATAATTCCAGTTGTTACATACAGGGCATGTTTCAAATGTCCCCGGACTATTTTCATATTTATCAAATCATTATTTCAACTCTAGTTGGAATAAATATACTTTTTTTTAAACTAGTTTCAGCTTGCCATGTTGCCTTTGACCATTTCCAGTAATCAGACTGTAGGACAGTAAAACCCAGAGGGGAAAACAAACCTGCACAAGAAAATGTATTGAAAAGAAATATTTTATATAGTACATGTGTTTACACTTGAAGACACCCAACAGTTGATTCTAATAAAGCCACCACGTTATTCCCGCTCTAAATATCTCCTACTCCCATTAGTAATCATATGTTGCATCTCAGTGTAAAAATCATTCCTTACAAAGGTTTACATTTATGTCCAGCGATAATTCCAGAGGAATACAATATTATCATTTATTGTCATAGATCATGACAATGGGAAACAGTGCTAATGTTTTCTATTGCGAAACAAAGTAAAGGCAGTGAAGTGGACTTCAGCTGCATCTGCTCACACAGTATGGGCATGCTCGTCCTGCAGATGTCTCTCGCTGTCCTCTCAAGTTTCAGCGACCAAATGCAGAACAAATATTTAAAAAAAACATGAATTAAGATCAGATCTGATGACTACAAGAAAGATAACATTAAAGTGTCCCTGCAGCAGTCTGTGGTGGCACTGTAAAAAAATAACCAACTGATGGCACGTAGCGAGCGTGTGTGGTCGAGTGATGTTCATACATTCACAACAAGGCAGAGATCCCACCAGTAGCTTTGCAAGGCGCGTGCCTCCGTCCAGCTCGGGGTCATCGTGGTTGTTATCTCGCCTCAGAAAGGTGGTGGATGGAAACCAATACGGTAAGACGGTTTTTGAGTGAAGCTCATGTGTTACCGCACCTTGTCTCCATCCGCGGTGAGTCATCTTTCTGTTATTTGTAGCGGGGAGGGGGTGTGGACAGTGTGAGTGAAATTGTGGCAGATTGATTTTGTGTGCATATATGTCAAAGTTGAGAGGCTTCAGAGGGAGACTCAGTTAAAGCTAAGGGTGATTCTCAAAGTTATCAAAGGGGTAGTTTTCATGTCGGTCTTTACTAATAATCATGAGCTTTCATAAGCTTTCAATCCCTCGAAAGATTTGTATACGCGACGCAATAGTTAATAATATGGGCCAGTTAATAGTTTTAGTAACGCATGGACAGTTACACTTTTCATAATATTTTAATCATGAGACCTGTCCTTATGTTTGGTTGACAAACTGTCCCAGCAACGGGAAATGCAAGGCCGGACAGCACAGATACCGGTTTTAGATCTGTCGTGACTCAACTTGTGAGCCTGATCAATGGGTGGGAGTTCAGCCCGAGGAAAGCACATGACGGCCGGTGGCCAATCAGTGGTGGCCAAAAAAGGACCTGTCGTCTCGGGATGGACTGACAGAGAGGGGTTGCGAAAGCTTTTTCACCTCAGATTGATCCTTTGCATTTCAGACAAGTCCCTTCACACCAAATGAGCCCATTGGGTCCACAGGACATCCACGGTGTGATACACAGCTATGTACAGTGCACAAAGGCAGGTGTTTGTCATTACGTTTACACCTGAAGGAAGCCTCCATGGGCTCCCTTTTTTTCCCAGGCATTTAGCATGTTAGGCATTCTTCTTTGGATCATAAAGGTGTGTACTGTAAATGTTTACATAACATAAGTAAGTCCACATGGCTTTAGGCCTGCGTCCAAAAAATTCTTCAGAATTGAACGATATTAGGCAAGTTGGCAAGTCTTCCCGGGTGCAAGGATGTAGAAAATCCATGGAATGGTTACGAACAGAAGGAATACATGACTCAAATCAGTTGATCCTGATCATCTTTTGGGAAAGGAGGGTAACACGTATTAATATATCCATGCAGCAACTCTGATAACTTCTCTGCGGAGTGGACACCCAATAAATGTTACGCAGTCGGTGCCTCAAGCCTCATGTTACTGATCAGAGAGCAGTTTTTTTGCCCATTCGGAGCGCTACTTGGATGGAGGGCAGGCCAGCAGACATCCTCCATTGAGAGGTGTTTTCGTGTCTCCGTCCCGTTGTCGGCCTGTGTGTCGGGTAGCTGTTTGCATGGTACAATTTCACCGGAGTCAATGTGCAAATGTTGACATGGAGGTCCTGGCTCTTCCCCTCCAGTTGAGCCCCGTGGTGGCGCCTGCCTCTACGCTGCCCTCTGCTGGCTCGTCCCGCTTGCGCAGCTTGGTGCTGAGCTGGATGATGCACTGGTCCCAGTCCTCGGGTAACAGCAGCATGAGGAAACCCAGGCAAATGATGAACACGGCAATGAGGCGCACTGTGTTGAAGTTAATTTCACACGTGTAGAGGTCCACCACTGAAACATTAGGACGCTGCGTTAGTATTGTGGATAATCAAACAAGAACTGATAGGATTGCTATAAACAATCCGTATAATAAGTGAAAGAAACAATGAGTTTGTCACAGAAAACTATGCGATGGGAATTTCAAATCAAATTCTATTCTTCATCAAATATGGATGATCACTTTTGGGGGGGATTTCAATGCCATTAAATGTTGGCTGGTTTAAAAACAGTTAAGAGCCAAGAGACTTACTGGCATTTACAGGAACACTTAGGACGATACCAAGGGAGATTAATTTTGGGTACGTCATCGCAATGCCGAAGTTCACCAGGACGTTGAAAGCTGTGGGAGGAATCAGTCCAGCGGGAATCACAATGACCGTTTGTCACCACCAAACACGTAAAATAATATGCACGGGTTGCGTGAATCACATTCGTGCACAGCAAGGCTTCGCGTGTCATCTTTCCCTACCGAACTGCAGGCCTGCGACCCCGCAGAGGAAGGCCCAGGGGATGTCTGCGAGTGAGCTGGTGTACTCCACGTGTGTGAAATACAGGATGACCGGCACGAAGCTGATGAAGACAAAGTTGGCGCTTCCGACAATGCTCAGAAAGAGTGCAGCCTCTCCAAATTTAGCACTGCCCAGGACCATCTTGAAGAGCACCTGAAGACAGATGGGGAGGAGAGACGTGAACGCACAAAATCCGCCCCCCCGCAGCAGAGGGACGTTGCAGAGGGATGCACCTGCCAAGTACTCGCCATGTCTCTGGCACAGGGCGGCTGCTGTCTGTTTATCACGTTAGGTAGCACAGACAGCAGGCCAGAGGAGACCAGATCCCCGTCAAAATATAGCTATCTGTCCCGTAGCCTCCTTGATCGGGACACGGCAGCCCGAGGCCGGCGGCCGGAAGCCCAAATATCACACGCGTCTATCGGCTTACGATTACATTTCATAATCTCTTCCGGTCTTCTGCCACCTGGTTGCACAAGTAAAAGGGAACTGGATTTCTTATATAAGACCGGACTATTCACATTTGCTATTTTTTTTTTACTGTACTACTTGCAGATGAATGACAAAGGAGGTTTGTGGAAGCCCACCGGCTCAGTAATGTTCTCAACAATTGATCAGATGCAAACAAGTACCTTGTAGAGCGCTGACATCGAAGCAGAGGCCACGACTAAAGTAATGCCGATGACTGAATGGCTGTGGAATCCATCAGCATACGTCATCATTACGATTCCTGCTATGGCCAAGATAGCCGCTACTATCTGCACAAAGAGAGAGAGAGAGAGAGAAGCAGGAACATCACCACCATACGCTGCTTGCAGTTTGGTTATAAAGACGCTCAAGCCCTTACGGCTGAAATATGTCGCCGGTGTGTTCATACTATAATTACAGTATTATAATTTCATTGGTGCAACTCTCCAATGAAGCCTATTCTCAGATGCACAGCGAGAGTGCTTCCAACATGGCACAGGAAGCTTACACAGTGTTGGCTCGATTGTGTGACATTGATTTTCTTTACACTGTCATAATGTTTACAAACCAAATAGCACTCTTGATCCACCATTTTTCACTCCCACTCCCCGCGATCACAGCTTCAAACCGACAACAAACCATCTGCTTTATCCGGCTCTCACTCAGCCTTGAAAATTCTGAACCAAAATCCTTCCTCCCCTTCCAGAAGTTGCCTTGTTTCTATGTGTGAGCGAGCGTGTGTGTGTGTGTGTGCGCGGCTGAAGAATAGCGAAAGGGACACGCTGCATTCCAGCTGAGTGGATTAGCGGTGCATTAAAGAGGTGGCAGGAAGATAAATGAGCCGTGTGTTTTTGCTCGGACAAAAGGCCCCGGGCCCTTTTGGCAAAACGGCTCTTTCTGCAGTGCAGGTTGTCTGTCAGTCACAGCTACACCTTTCTCCACACATTTTGTGTGATGGACTGTTGAGGGTCAGTTGTGTTAGTGATTTACGTTCACCAAAGAAGACTGAAACAACCAATTTCATACATAGCATCCCTGGGCTTTCTTGCTAGAAAGATCCTCTGCATTGCTGCAGACATCCACACACACGGCAGAGAGAGAGAGAGAGAAGCTGTGTAAGATACAGAAGCATTTGTCCTTTGCTCAGGCCTTTAATCGTGAATAATGGGGGTGAGGAGATGGGGCACACACGAGGGAGAGATTGGCTTTCCCCCCTTTTTTTTCGGCCTTTCTGCAGAGTAAAGGACGGCTTCAGATATGAAAGCATCTGAGACGTGAGAGGGGTGGGGGGGGAATACAATCAATACATACACACTAATTTAAACCCGCCATCGACAATAAGTGTTAAGTGGAGTTCTCAACCAACAAGAAGCCCAAGGTCAGGAGAAGGTCATCTTCTTATGTAACATACAGCAAGCCGAGACGTCCCGACGTAAACCCGAGAGCTCCACAAAGATATACATGTTTTCTCTTTTCTTGTGAAAAGACGTCGCACTCTTTTAAGAACTATGAACGGGATCATATCGAGTCAGAGTGGGAGGAAATCACTGTTTGGTGCAACTCACGAATCAGATTGTAATGTTTTTGCTGCTCAAATATCAGATTTTAATCAGTTTGAGACTGGCCAAGAGTTACGTAAATAATATTTAACATTACACAAGCTGACCTAATACCATGGACAGTGTTGCAAATGATTGATGGGAATTTTGCACCTACTATTTTATATGAAATGGTAGCGATTCAATTATGCGAAAGCCTATATTCTAGTTAGTTATTGCAGGTGAAAGCGGCCCCCACCTGCAGAGTAAATCATTGGTTAACCATCCACCTTCCTTTTGGTGACCTACGCTGGACTGGAAAATGTTCTCTCGTGTCTCGTACACACGGGCCGATGTACTCACCCTGACCCCCATGAAGCGGTCTCTGAGTACGATCCAGGACAGCAGGAAGACAAAGGCCTTGTTACAACAGAAGAGCGCCGACACGTCCGTTGTGTTGATCTTCCTGAGGGCCTGCAGGTACAGGTAGTTGGTGAGGATCCACAGCAGGCCGAACGGAGCCATCTTGGTGAAAAACACCTTGGGTGTGAGCCCGTCGTCCCCGAAAAACCTACAGCACTCCCTGTGCAGGGGAATCGCATTTAAGAGTTGAGAAATGTTATCGCGATCTGGGACTTTTAATCAATATTTATGAACACAAACCGCTCCGCTTGAACAAACGATGATGAGTGTGTGCGTGTGTGTGTGTGTGTGTGAAGCAATCCCCATTCTACAATACAAACATTGAACATTGCATCGCGTGCATGCGGGACCAAAATGAGTGACTAAAATATTTACGAACCCAATTGAATGGGTCACATTATGTATCAGTTCTCAAAGTCACTTGGAAGTGATCCTGTTGAGTCTGTTGTTCTGATCAATACGACTTGAGGGTCGCATCCCTAAAACGACATGACCCCCATACACCAGTTTACTCTGAAAGCTGCTGGCTCCTTTACAAATGTGTCAAAGTCTTGGCTTAAAGCCGAGGTTGAGTCAACGCCGCACACTCCCGTTGTTAAACACGCCTTAATGTGTGACAATCACATTAAGGTCCCTCATCATTTCATTACAGACACCGGATACGCCGCTTTCCAATCCAGAAGGCTGACGGTTTGTGGTTTGTTTCTGCTGTACCCGTAGTCGATTTGAGAAAGGCTCCTGCGTCGGCCACACTGGGCTGAGGAAGATGCCGAGGAAGCCGATTTGAAACCAACTCAGGTTGAGTTTGTGGGCTGTTTCGTGAGCTCGTAACATCTTTTCAGAGAGGCGGCTCAACTGAGGCTGCTGAAAGACTGCAATATTATCAGCGAGCCTTGAGTTCGTATTGTACAAAGTGTATTGATGAGCGGGTTCCTTTTAAACAGGGAAAATCCCCTCCACTCATTCCAGGAGGAGAATTGCAGATATCACCTGTCGTGTCAGGTCTTTGCCTTCGTTTTGGTCCTTCTTATGTAAAGAGGCGGGACAGCTATTAAAAATCTCAACTCCTCCGCAATGTCTGGGAATCACCAGCCGGTGCAACTGAACATGAAGGAAAACGGGGTGCTTGATATTCGGAGCGCGCCTTCACAGGCCGAGGAGCGTGAGATCCCCGTGTCCCCCTTCAAAGAGGGAGAAGAGCCACTTCGCGGAATACCCAACCCCCCCCCCCCCCCCCAACCCCGGCTCACACAGGCACACAGTGCCTGCCAAATACCTCCACCCCCTTTCACTCTTCGTGCCAAAGTAGCACAGCGGGTTGCAGCGACTTTCCTTCCTACAGATGAACGATGAATGGACTGTTTCAAGTGTGAAAACGCCGCTAACAAACTTTACAGGATTGCATTCTTTCTGTTTGCTGCAGGAGACTAACTAGAGATGGCCTGCTTTCCCGTATGAGTCAACGGTGGCCTGTGTGGGAAATCAAATATGATCAGGAAGGGAAGGTGCTTGAATAACAGGGCAGCAAACACGGAAGGCAAACACCTCCGTTCATTCGGTGAGATTATGAGAATGCTGCTGGACAGCTGACCCTTTTTGAGGATCTTGACCCCGTGTTTGGAAGGATGTTCTCCACAACTAAAGGAAGTTACTCCTCCGCCAACAACGCAGCATTGTTCAAGATGCTGAAAAGATTTTTGAAACATACGATATCAGATATAAGTCAGACACCCTGAAGGAAAAACCTCCCACCACATTTCAGGGAAACCAAATGAAAAAATCATATGGTTTTCTTTGCCTCGATGTGCAGGTTACACAAGTATTTGTCTTGTATTCATCTCTTTCTTCTTCTTGCGTGCACTGAGCGTCTTCCTACCTGAATCTCTGTCTGGGCGTCTGCCTCTCTGGACTCTTGCACATATGGCCGATGTAGTAGAGGGGGAAGAAGAGGCAGTTCCAGGAGGTGGCGAACCAGGTGAGGGTGAAGGGGGCGTCAAACTGCTTGAAGGTCAGCTTGGCCAGCTGGGTGGAGCCGGCCCAGGAGGAGCACACGCATATCACCATGACGACCCCCCACAGGGCCTTCCGCACCTGCACGGTGGTCACTCGGATGCAGCAGTGGAGCTTCCGCTTGCTGGAGCCGGAGTCCGCTCCCGCCGCTCCGGCGGCCGCCTGTGGGTCCGTGGTGCCCACCACATTCTCCCTGGGGCGGTCTTCGCCTACACACAAGCACACGGAGAAAATGGTAGAAAACACACACAGGTGAAAACGCTGATTTGTTTCATGGTCAGGAATACACTTGTTATGTATTTTATAATCAAGCATTTTGCATACAGTATAATAATTAATCTGAAGAAAACAATTGTGTGCGTGAATGACTTCAGCTCAGTCATGTCGTGCCAGGTTTTCTGGCTATAGATAGCTTCCTGCGCAGCTTAATTGAACTTGAAGGTAATCAATCAGACATCTGAGTTAAAACTGTGGTGATCAAGTGTGACAGGCTGCAGCCAAACAGAGGACAAAAGAGGGCAGATCTGATATCCAATCCAAGACCTTCTCCACCTCGTGAGTTACAATGACATGAGTGTGTGGGTGGGTGTCGGTGTACGTGTGTGTGTGCATACCCCAGAGTGCCCAAAGGCACACACACACACACACACACACACACACACACACACACACACACACACCACTGCTTAACTTTGCTATTACTCCCGTCACACCTGACAGCCTCCGCACCACTTCAATACTGTGTGAATTGAGGAAAAGCGATGATGTGCCGCTTTCTGTCCCACTCACACCCACACTGTGCATTAAAGCTGATTCACCAAGGTCGTGTTGTTACCTCGAGTCAGTGAACTTACTCATGTGTTTATTGTCTCCTCCAAACAATTCGGCTATTACTCTATAATCCTGTGCCGGAAGCTAAAACGAAATATAACAACAGATATTATTAATTCATACAGCAGATTGTCACTCACTCAGGAAACAAACAAAACAACAAAACAATAGCATTGCTTTGCTGAGACTAGCAAACATCCACAGAAGGATGATGAAACTGAAATCGGTTCCTTAATGGTTGAAGTTTTAACGTTAATCTCCTCCTGATGACCTTTCTTCAATCTATGACTGTGATATATAATCTGTATCTGCTAGTAAATTAGTTCCTATTTCGGTTGTTAATTACTCATATATATATTTATATTTTTACTTATTTATTCTTTATGTACTTTATGTGTAATCCTTGTATTCTGTATTTATATTTTTATTCTCCCTTGTCTCAAAGAAATCCACCACAAATGCACTAACTGTTTATTTTTTTGTTCTGTAATCAAACAAAACTCACCCTACTGACGCGCTATACTAGTCTGTCTTTACACATTGTGCAAGCGGGAAATTTAACAAAGCTCAACCAATGATAATGTCTCCTAAAAGTCATATTTAGTTAGCCATTGCTGTCCTACCATATCATGTGGATGTGGAACTTTTATTTTACCCACAGCACAGACCAAGAGGAAGAAACGATTCCTCCCCCCTTGTCTCTCTCACAGGACACAGATGTGTTAAGCTAAACCAGATGTGTCCTATAGCATAAGCTGAGGGACGCCATTCTTTTTTTCTCTATTTTATGCATTGATACATCACATTTGAATAACTAATAATCCTTATATATCTACATAATAATTCATTCTTATTCATTAAATATGCTTTGAGCAACAACACTACAAGACCAACAGTAACAACAAACACTTTTAACAGTATCATAAATAAATGATTGTACTTGTATTTGAGCCAATGAGAAATGACCAGGGGAGCGAGGGGACCAAACACAAAGGCCGTATAATATGCACGATGTGTCGGCTGCAGCTTCCCGCCTGCCAACAAGTTAAAACTGAGGGATCTCCCTCATGGTGCTTCCAGGGGTAACGATGTGCCGCAGGGAGCCTTTTTGCCGATTCATCTTCTCTGCACGATGCTGACTGGAATACATAACGCACTTCAAAAAGATATAAATAAATGTACCATAAATTGGCGTTACACTGTGAAAGTGCGTATTGTGTGGCATTAAACCGGGAAACTGAACTCATGCTCTTTCATTTCTCCCGTGTTAGGTCATCATATACGTAACGCTTATATAACTGTGAACACTCAAAGGGAAAAACATCCTCTTCTATAGCTACAGCTTGCTACATATTCCACAGAAAAGTTGTATACCTGGGGCTCCATCTTGCCCAATGAGGCGACTCATTCTTTCCTGCTGCCGACCTTGGTAGGCGGTCGCAGATTAACCTCCCCGATGACAATCGCCTCCCATGCTAATGCCCCCCCCCCCCCCCGGCTCTCCGCTGAACGCACATTCTCATTTTGATTCATCTGCTGTGAAAATATGATGTCATTAAGATGAAAATGTGCTACATTATTTGGGTATCCTGAACAATGCGTCTTGCTCCAGACAAAAAAAAAAAAAAAAAGAGCAATCGACAGCTGCAGTAGTCCTGTGGAAAATTTGGCTGCAATGAAAGAGATGATTCGAGATCACTGTCTTCTCCCGTGGCAACACGATGAATCAGCGAGGACCAAAGAACCGGCAGACGCACGTGGATGTCTGTCAAAGTGTAGGGGACACGGGTGAGAATTAGGTTTCTCTATTCTGAGCTCCGAGCCTCTTTGTCTGGTTCTGAAGGTCAGCTCCTGTTTACGCTGCCCACTTTCTGTCCTTCCTGGGCCTTCGTCCCACAGCCCGTGGCCCCGGCCGCTGCTCCATACTGCCGCACGGTTTAATCTTCCAAATGCAGTGATGGGCCAAGCCAATCAGTCCCCAGGGTGGCCCTGGGGCCCAGCCAATCATTTCAAGACCCGGTACACGTGAAGTTAATTAGCCGAGTGTCATGACAACATTGCGCGTCCTGTCACACTTCACATAAGCTGTTAGCATAATACTTGCAAGATAATATGCTATGAATTGTATTAGATGAAATGCAGTTGCTTGAATTAATAATTAAAGCTTCTACTATTTAGAGGCATCAATGTATATTGATTTCATATTTGATGGTGATGCAATTGTTTCTCTGGCTTGACGGTGACTAATTACACCGTATCAACCTTGGAGCCGGTGATGAACATCATGGAGCATTGCTGAACTCATCAGTGGGAGAGCGCTGGCTCGGTAGAGAGGTGGAGTGGCTCGTGAGATGGGAAGGGTCCTCCTCTAATGACATTTGAAACCGTTATTACCATGATTGAAAATCCCAGAAAGAGTCTCCTTCTCTAACTGCTAAATGATTAAATGAAGGCTCTCAGCCTTATCGGTCGGTATTGAAATGTGAACCGTCAAGGACAGACTGTGACACTACCTTTGGTTTGATTAAGTGTACTTTTTATAATATCTATGAATTACTTCAGCATTTTACGAACTAAAGCAGATAAGGATTAGGGGTAATTGCAGATTACTGTATTAACTGAAACACACAATTCAACCGAAAACTGAAAATATCTCCACTAATTCCAGACCATCTAGGCCCAAACATGCTTAACGGAACCTGAACAGGCATCCGCAAAATCTTCAATGTCTCCTCCTCAAATGCTTCAATCCCAACCACAGCCTATTGAAACCACGGAATTCAATATACACAGGTGAAGGTGCTCTTGAGCGAAGACAAGGGGAGCAAAGAAAAGGATAATACTCAAGCGTTGCTGGGTCTTTATCACAGTGAACGGTGTGATACTTTTAATTAAAGGGAAATCCACTTGTTCTGAGTGATACGTCTTAACCTTTGTGTGTTTACCACCACGGGCGTAGTAAATCATTCTTTATAGCGTTTTCTCATTGGTCTGCCTCTGGTGTTTTAGTGCCCCCTTACAGCGAGAGAACTGAGTATACGTTCTACGTCCAGCAGGGTCAAAATAATCCAATTGGGGTTGACGTTCATCTAGCCAGTTTTCCAGTTCTTCTTGCAACTCAGTGCCTGCTTCCCTTGCTCCCGGACGAGCTCTCGTTTCTTTCTCACCCCCCCCCCCCCCCCCTCCCTCCCTCCCTCTCCCCCTGCAGACTCTGCAGTGCAGATCTCTCCAGCTGATCGCTGCAAATCCCAAACGCACCAGCGGAGGCCCTGCCAGGCCGACCGCCTATTGCCACACTTCACGATGCCTGGCCATGACGGACCCACTTTCATTTCATTTAGCTGACCATCCAAAGCGACATAGAATAAGTGCATTGAACCGTGAGGGTCCGGACCCGAAACACAAGGAATTATGGAAGTACAATTTTGGTAAGAAAGCCAAACTTCAAAATGCTACAGCCAAGTGCTACCTTGAGTCCAGGTGGAGGTGTGATGTCATTGGGGAGCTCATTTAGGAGCCAGGACAAGAGACAGTCGGGACTATATCGTCAAGGTGTCAAAAATGCTTCTCCGAGACCTCAAGTCGGAGACGGCGAGATAAGAGAGAGGAGAGGTTTGTCCGTTTGTCCGTAGGGCGACACCTCTGCGGGACTGAGAGTGCAGTGCAGCGCTCCGCCTCAGTGATTCAAGAGGGTAAACAGATCAATCACAGACACACACACACACTTCGGAGAAAGACTCGTCTCCTTGTCTTACTGTCTCTTGGGTGCTCGGTGATGGATACGAGTGAAACTTAATTGTTCCGTCATGCTGATAATCCAACATTATGTCTTGTCTAAAGTTTGTCTTTAGGTGATTAAATGCAAAATGCATGTTCATCTTTGGCTGTCACACAACATCGATCACTGCATCGGTCCTCTGAACAAAAATAAATCCTTCAATCCCCTTTTGACCAACAGGTTTTGTCATTTTTGACACATCGAAGTCTCAGCCGTAATGTTTAGGAAGCAAGACAGTTATTGATAATTCAAGCAAGCTGTAAACTACAAATGTCCCACTACAGAAGGATGGTAGTTTTATCAAGTCAGGACATGATAACAGGCTGAAGACAGACAGACAGCAGCCAGTGTCTTTGTAATGTCCAAGTCTGCTGGAGGCTGGGCGTCTGTGATGCTTGTCTGTGACAGCTTGGTCAGGCCCGGCTGACACTCAGAGCCCTTTCAACTCACCAGAGCCGCCTCATCTGCCAAAGACTTGTCTCGCCCAATAACCCAACAGAGAGTCCGGCTGGAAACACACCCCGCTGAGAAGGTGGGACCACACGGGCTCAGGGGGACAAAGGCCCCCGGAGAGAGGGCAGGCAAGGGCGGGGCGACTGT